GATTAAGCAAACCGCCTGAATCTATTATCTTTTAATCCCAAACATTGTTTTTTAATAGAAATTTCGCCAAATCTACGTACCATACTTTTTTATATCTTTCTATAATCTGTACTTCTTCAATCTTCTCTGCCATTTTGAGAGTAACCCATTTTGGTAAAAGCTCTCTGTCTTTCTAGTATTTTCTTTTTATGTGTTTCTGGGGCGTTTTGTATATGTAAAATGGCGATCCTGGAGTTGCCGGAGATTGTGGAAACGACGACGTTGAACACCCACCACAGCCACGCCGCGAGTACTGTTCGGCGGAGATCTAGTGCGGTGGCTGTACTGGAGTCAGATTCAAACTCTTTAGAGGCAGTGTATGATAGTGACAGTGATGTTAATAACAATAATGAGACGGGAAATCTGTGTGGAGGAGTGGTGGAATCGGCGCGGGAAGAGCCGAGTGAATCGGGTACTGAAGGTTTGAGAAATGGCGAGGAGGAGAAGGAGCAGTTTCGTACTGGAGAGAGTAATCAAGGAATGGAGGTGGCGGCGGCGGCGAAATTCTCGCACCGTCCGTCGGCACCGGCTCACCGGAGAATCAAAGAGAGTCCTCTCAGCTCGGACGCAATCTTCAAACAGGTTTGCACTGTTTTTCTTACTAATTTTACACACATACACATAATTGGCCATCCTTACATATCTACACAAATATCTCTGTTTTGCTTTATCAAAATTTTACTATTTCTTGTTGAATTCCTAGCTTTTTCCGAGTTCTTTTAGCCAAAAAGTAGCCAAATAATAGAGATTTGTTTTCATTTTTTTTTCTCTGTGACCAACTTTAAATAAAGTACTTTTCATCTCTTTTGTTGTTTAAATTACTGGTGTCATTTTAAGTAGCTCATGAACTTGTCTTTGACTTATTTTTGCAGTAGGACTGGTTAGGTATGGACAAAAATTTGCCACTTGGTCTTTTAAGATTATTATGGACGCACATTTGACAATTTCTTTATCATTTTCGGTAGAACATGTGTGGATTTTAATACTATGAAATACATGTCCTTATTTGTTGACATACTAACATTATATATTAAACCATCGTTTGAAATTCACCACTTCGAAAATAAAAGTATATCCATCTGTTGCTCATTTAATTTGTTTGTTGTTTACGGATTAGGTTGATATCTGGTTTAAAATTTCGGAATGCAAAGATCATCACTGGGTTATTGAGACTGTTTATTTCAGAAGCTATCTTACGGTCCTGAATTGTTCATTGACTCATTTGATGTCCCATTGCTTTCATTCAGAAGATAGTACGATGAAGAAAATTCTATAGGGTTGTTGATGTTGTGTAAAAGATGTAATTTAAATTATGAAGTTTTCTCGATTGGCATTTGTCGTATTTATGGTATGCCCATACAGAGTTGACCTTTCTTTGTGTTGTTTTGTCGTTTTCTGGGGTTGGGGGTGTACTCGAGAAGTAATGAAATTCAAAAAGGGTGAGAAAGCAACCTTATGAGAAGTCTCTTTTTTGCTTTTGTGCTGAGGGAGGTGTGCACTTTCTTTTCCTATTGGCTTCTGCATCTTGGAGATGACGTGATTCATCTGGGTGAATCCGATAAGAGTTGACCTTTCTTTTCGTTGTTTTGTCATTTTTATGGGGGGCGGGGGTGTACTGGAGAAGTTATGAAATGTAAATGGGGTGAGAAAGTAGCCTTATGAGAGGTTTCTCTTTTTTGCTTTTGTGCTGTGGGGGGACATGCTCTATTTTTTCCTATTGTCTTCCGTTTCTTGGAGATGACGGGGCTCATTTCGGTGAATCTGATTTCATTTAAGAAGTGGATAGATTATATGGCTTTACTATGTGTGGAAGTTGAGCAATTAAGTTGAAACTCTCTGCATCTTATGGACTCTATGTATTCTTGAGAAAAGAGCGTATGTCACATTGAAAATCAACGACCTTGTATTGGAGTTTGAGGATGATATATATCCAATATCAATTACATGTATTAACCACAGACATTTGATATTTGCCCCATACTCATGCATGATCTTTTAAACACAAAAAACAATTATATTGAACTGATGTTGGTCATATAATTGTAAAATTATATCTTGGGATAGTGACACATAATGTACAACATGTTAAATAATGCAATCTGATGCCGTGATATCAATTTCATATTGTTTTGGTCTTGGTTCTAGATATACTGGTGTGGAATTATAACTTTGTGGAGTTATTTACTAAACTATTTCCATGAATGAAGTTGTCATGGAACTTCAGAATGTTAATTGGTGTCTTGTGGCAGAGTCATGCAGGCCTCTTCAACCTCTGTATAGTGGTGCTTGTTGCTGTAAATAGCCGACTTATTATTGAAAATTTGATGAAGGTGCGTCTCTTGGAATTGCCTTGCACCTTTTAATTTATGGGGATAGTTAATATAATCATCATTAATACTATATTTATCTTTTATTAGTTTGAAGTGGTTGATGTTTACTGCATATCATTATTGGAAGATTTACGTTCCCGTTATTATTGTTGGAGTAGTTGAGCTTAAGAGGTAATCTTTTATGTCGTTGCAGTATGGCTGGTTGATCAATTCAGGCTTTTGGTTTAGTTCAACATCACTGAAGGATTGGCCACTTCTAATGTGCTGGTAACATATGCCGAACATTTTTAATCATGTGATGGGTGTAAGAAAAAAATAGTAATTTTTTTTTAATAAATTTATCAATGACGTCTTTTGTTATGATAACTCTTCTTGTTCTGTTTTGCAGCCTGAGTCTCCCAATTTTCCCACTTGCTGCATTTCTTGTTGAGAAGTTGGTGCTACTCAAGTATATATCTGAATGTGTAAGTGAAGAGTTACTACTTTTTTCATCCTGATTTGAACAGTGTTTGACTTCTTTCAATACTCAGGGTTTTCTCTCAGTAATATTTTCTCAAAAGTTAATGCATATTAGCATATGACTGTGAACCAACTCAACCAAACTCCTGATATCCGTCTGCACTGTATAATTGATATTTTATTTTTGGCAAAAAATCCATTTAGGTGTAGGCAAGAGTTGTTAGGCTCTTTACCTAGACCTAAACGGAGGTTTGGCATTGCCCCCTGTCCTATTATATTGAGTGTGAAAAATGTATCTATATTTTGCTTGCTAGATTTTTCTTGTCATATATCACTCTAAATTGGCGTAGTAGTCTGTTCCTCAAGTTGATATAAATTGGACACCTTGTAGTAAAGTTATATCACATTGGGAGAAACATATCACTCGAAAACCTGAAAGACAAGCGTTACCTTCCAAAGTGATCTTTCTATTATTCATGGCGATTTTTCATTGGCATCTCTCTTCAATAATAGCTCTGTGAAATCTAAATCTAAAGAGTTCTATTGAAGTTTAGTCTATAGTTATAAAAGTTGAGTTATCGAATTTAATCTTCAAAGCTACTAGCTGGGAATTTGTAAGGCTACAAGTTCGCTGAGAATGCAGATTGTAATTGTGATGTGGTTAGATTTTGATTATCTTAGATAATTTCAAACTAAATACCTGGTGGAATTTTGAAAAAGTGCATATTTTTAATCTATCTGATTGAGCTAAGTCATCTAATGTAGCGTAACTTTTTTGTTCTCTCGTTGTGACTTTTGCGCTTTTATCTATTTTGTTTAGATAGATGAGTCATTTTATTTATTTATTTTTGTGGATTCTTTACATTTTTTGATGTCATGCTGCATATTATTTATACATTGCAGTTCACATTATTGAGTAATTATCCTGTTGTCATGCAACTTGGTTTTTCCAAAACTGTGAAGGTTGAGCTCTTTCTTATGATCAGTTGCTAGTTAATGCTCCGTGGGAATAAATTCAAATTGAATTTAAAATTGCAGGTTGCAGTCCTTCTTCACATTATAATAACAACAGCTGCTATCTTGTATCCGGTTTTGGTTATTCTTAGGTTTGTCTTGGACTTCTTTAAATCAGTACATCTTTTAAGCTGTTCATCACGATTTATTTATTTACTTATTTATTTTTGTCTGTTGAAGAATTTTACCCTTGATAGTGGAGATACTTCTACATTTAGATTCCAAACTTGCAATTGAAACATATCAATAAAATTTTGCAATTATATGATGTCTACATATTTAACTGATCGCAAACATAAGGTGAAAAGTGGATGGTAGATTTGGAATATATAACAGCAGCGTCGAGGTACCCAGCATAAAGGTCATTTCTTCAACTTAATGCTTTGAACCAAGAGGCAATGTGAAATTGGATGGAGCACTAAATTTATACTTTGTTCTTCTGGCTTCATTAATATTATGAAGTTTTTTATATTAATCCATTTGACTGCATTTGATGATTACCTCTGTTGTGAACACCCAAAAGGTATTTGTAAACAACTGCAGATAGGGTTGAAAATCATGCCATGCAAAGCCAGCATTTATGAAGTTGTGTACTGAAAGTTTCCTCTATGTCATAGGTGTCCACAATTTTTAACCAAAAAGGCGTACAGAACACCATCTCTTCACAATGGAGTTTAATCCTTTAGTTTGGTTTGCGGGTCTCTTTAGTGCAATAGTTTTGTAGAAATAAGATTCACACGGGGATGATAATATTGGAAACTCATAATAGGTAGGAATTCTTGAGCAAATCACCTAAATTATCGGTAGATTCTATCTATTTTAAGCAATGTGTAGTTCCAATTATGAAATGATAGTCATTGGTTTGGGATTGCACAGGTGTGATTCTGCTGTTCTGTCTGGTGTCGCATTAATGCTCTTTGCTTGCATTGTGTGGTTGAAGTTGGTATCTTATGCTCATGCAAGTCACGATATGAGGGCACTAACCAAATCACTTGATGAGGTAACGAGAACCCTTTTCTTAAGATAATATTTTTACTTTTGCTCCTTTTTATTTTCGGCTGATCAAGGCAAAGGAAGAGAAAGGAACAGTTGGTAGTAAAGCTATATTTATTTGATGGTTTTGTTCATCTTCACTGGTACTCTGTGTATTCATTTCTTGGTCAATACTATGCGTTGTGTTCAAATGAATTGAAAAGGCAGACGTGAAGCTAAATTTGTCCATTTCCATTGTTTTTGTAGAGACTTGCCATGTTCTGTAACTTCAGCTGTTATTTATTAAAAGAATTATGAAATGTATATGCAATCCTGTTACTCTCCCTCGTATATTGATAAATTAAATCATATATTGATAACTTCAATCCATTTATGCATATCTATTTTTATCTCTAATAAATGCGCGCACACATGCTAATTGATGAATAACTGTTCTCAAGCGTTGCCCTTTTAATCATTCTTATATGGAACTCTCTTTTGAGATCAGGGTGAAACATTGTCTGGTTATTGGAACTCTGACGATGTTAACTTTAAGAGTTTGGCATACTTCATGGTTGCTCCCACATTGTGTTACCAGGTATGCATGGCTGAACAATTTAATTATCAATATCAAAATTTTATACAAATTCATGAACATGTACAGCTTCTCTAGATACTTCATAAAAAGCTCTTTATACGGAGTTACATATGGACCTTAGTTGAATATGTGTTGTCCATCAATCAATATGAATGCTTGAAACATCATTGAGAGATCTCAATCTTACATTAAATACCAGTGGGCAATAGGGATGGTCGAAATTCCCCAAAACTGGAATGATTTCACTTTTCCTATTTTTACTTGTTTACAAATAATGTTAAATGTTAATTGTAAGGTAAATTTAATGATAATGCACCACACCACGTTTTTCAAACTTTGAACCCTGAAAAGGACTGAACTGGACTCTCTTATAAACGAATTGGGTTGTTTACTTGAAATAAACTAGTTTGACTGTTGCATAGAACTGAACTGAACCAGACCTTGCTCATATCCACTGCATAGAACTCGTGAGACTGCAAATGTTACAATGGAATTGTCTAAAGCATGTTTCTTGCACATTATTATCTGGATTGAGAAGTAAATCCTTCTCGGTAGCCTCGGGCCTGCATTTCTTGCTATTTTTGCTCTGTTTTTGATCATGTGATTGATGTACTAGGTATTATAGTTGGAACTCATTAATTCTGCTCCGCTTGCTTTATTGTCGTGTTGAATATTTTCTCTAATCGCCTAAGAATTGTTATTTGTAGCCAAGCTATCCCCGTACAGCGTGCATTCGGAAGGGTTGGGTGGTACGTCAACTCATTAAGTTAGTAATATTTACAGGATTCATGGGATTTATTGTAGAACAGGTTATCTCCTATTTCTTACGAAATCAACTCCCAAAATGTTTTTCTCTATTTGAATGTGAACTTGACTGATATAGATTATTTCATTGTGCAGTACATAAACCCGATTGTGCGAAATTCTCAACATCCTTTGAAAGGAAACCTTTTGTATGCCATAGAAAGAGTCTTGAAGCTTTCGGTTCCAAATTTATATGTGTGGCTCTGCATGTTTTATTGTTTTTTCCATCTTTGGTATGTTCTTTCTTCCTCAAACTTAGAGTATATTCCCTTTTTTGTGTAATCATTTTGTGCTTTGCCTAATGAAACTTGCTTGTTTTTGTTTCAAACACCTGAGACCTATTTCAAATTTAGAAACACTTTACTGATATAACGATATACATGCATATGGCTCTTTGCCTGTCTTGCTTTGCAAGATTGTTCATTAATATGCCACGATATTTGTTGGTATGAAGTTATTTATACATATGAAATTGCATTTTAGGTAATACCAAAGAAACTTTGCGGTAATTTGGAAACAAGATTGTTGCCTTCTGTGAATGTCCAAGAATTCCGTGTGTTGCTATGTTGTGCTGAACACCGCTACATGGTGACTAGACATGATTATTCTTGAAACTAATAGGATGGGAAAAGTATTAGACAATACCAGTTAAAATATATTTAAGTGTAAGAAATCATGACTACATAGTAAAATTAAATGCAAGCACTTAAATATTTAGCATATAACTTAAACCAAAAGTTGAAACTGGTCAAGTAAACATCAAATGGTGCAAAAATAGCCAATTCATTACCAAAGGGATTGTACCAGAAAATGAAACTGGTCTAGAAAAGCACACATCCTGATTTGCCAGAGGATCTCAGAGCTCAGAAAATGGAAGAATCACAGATCAAAGGTTATTTAAAAGAAAAAAAAAAAAATGAAGAAGCCAGAGAGTACTGTGTTGCTGGACTGTAAGCAAAAGCAAAGATGAAAAACAAATAGGTACCCCAAACGGAAGATAACTTTTGTTCTTTTGGCAGAGTTTCATGGAAAGCCGTGGCCAACATATCTGATGAATGCTTAATAGCTAAGAGAGGAATCATTCTTTAATTGAAAATTTTTGCTCCAGAGCATTTTCCTATTCACATTGGATAGATATTGCTATCATTATTCTAATACAATTTATAAATTTTACTTACCATGATCAGTTTCTAAAATTACAAGTACAATTGGATATTTGAAATTGATTTGTTCTGCTCTAGTTAGCAATGGTACTGCTATGCCAAGCAACGTGATCCCCAAGTAGAGGTGTTCTGAAACTGGGGTTGGGTTGCAGACCTACCTGTGTTTTGTTCAATAACCGTATGTACTATATGATATAAGGAAAGTAGCTCATGTTGTTACCTTGATCTGGGCAAATAACTGTTGCTAAAATGCTCAATGCACTCAATTTTTCTTATAAAGGTTTTTCGTTCTTCCCTCTGGATCAAGTATATTCTGATTTTTTAAGCCTTTGTGTGAAATGAGAACCATGTTCCATGTTGGCTTTTTATCTGTCAATCACATTACTCAGATCTTACTTACACACAGTGCTGTGATATAGGCTGAATATACTTGCGGAACTTCTCTGCTTTGGTGATCGTGAGTTCTACAAAGATTGGTGGAATGCGAAAACAGTTGAGGAGGTAAGACTTGTATGCATTGACAAGACATTCGTCACTTTTTTACATGCCCATTATTTTGTGTCAGATTATTGATGCTGATCTTTCATTTTATATATGATTGTCGACTGTTGCTGCTGTCATCAGTATTGGAGGATGTGGAATATGGTAAGTTAATCTGCGAAGTTTTTCTGAAAATAATTGGTCGCAATATTTTTCTTCCTTTGTTATATTATGAAGAAAAAATCTGCATTTCATTTTCTTTCAGTGCTGTAATGAATATGTAAATTTTTCGCAGATTCATAAGTTGTAAGTGTTAAATTCGACATAATGCAGATATATTTCTCATTCTCTGTTTTGACTTGATTGTTAAGCTACTTAATTCACAAGCATTGGTTGTATTCTGCTTGAGATCTCTGAATTCTCGTAAGATATAGCGTTAACATGATATAAAAATGACTACTTTCCTCAACAGCTATTAACACAGTTGTAATCTGATTTTTATCTATTAACTTGTGCAAGGATATTACTTGAATTCGTTAGCCTTTTCGACCAAGTGAATGAAAAATGTTTGTGAAGTAATCCTTTTGGTCATTTCAAGTATTCAATGGATTTATGGGAACTAACTTCTGAGATGTTGTGAAGGATATATACCGATTTACTGCTTGCACCATTATGTAACTCGTAGAATGGATTAGGTTTCCAATTATTCATCAAATTTCTGACATGTATTCCAAGGTGGGCATTAGAGAACAGATGGGGGTGGAAATCAAAGGTTGGGATAATTAAATGGTACTCTTTCTCTGTCTTGAAAAGTATGAGTAATACAAATCAATGGAAAAAGGACGAGTATTATTTCTTGGAAGAGCATGGGAGACCTGGGTGGGGTAGTATTGTGCAGACTATATTAATAGGGTAATTAGTCCTCATTCTTATAAGCATTGGTTAGATGAAAATTTTGCTGAGCAGGTTACAATTTTTTAAGCGCTTAATTCTTTCTTAATTCTCATTCTTTCATCTTCAATTGGACCATTGTTGACTGGAAAGTTTATTGATTACAGCCTGTACACAAGTGGATGGTCCGACATATATATTTTCCATGCTTACGGAATGGGACACCAAGGGTAATTTATTATCTCTTTGAAACCTTAAGCTGGCTGTTAAATAATTTTCTTATGCTTCCTACACTGTTATTTTTTATTTTTTTTTATTTGTGATTGTAATAATTTTGACATAATATAATTAGAGTTTTGATCGTATGACCTGATTACCATTACAACAATGAATTTTTATTGTATAATCAAACATAGGATATTAGATCGGTTTATTATTAAATCCCTAAACAATCTAAATCTAAAGGGTATCACATCTATCAATTCAAATGTGTACCCCCCCCCCCACCCCCCCCAAAAAAAAAAAAATGTAATTGTCACTTTATGATCCAAGAGCTTGCTCTTCGCGATCTTTTAGTTTGAGAGAGTTTATACTTTTGAAATAAGGATTTGGAGTAAATATTTAGAAGTCACGACTCACGATGATGATACTTTGAGCTTAAACTTTTGCAAATTACTGCTTTTGTAGTTTTACATTAATCAACAGCTGTACTCAGTCCCTAGATTTCAGCCTAAACGATCCTTTGGCCACTTTGCCTCTAATGATTTCTATTTGTAATCCATATAACTTTTTTGGCAATCTAATTGATCTACTTTTTTTTCTGTTTTTTTTTTTTATATATTTTTTTATTTTATGCAGGGAGGTGCTGTTTTGATTGCGTTCCTCGTATCTGCTATTTTTCATGAGGTATGATGTCTTTCCCCGCTTTGCATCTCATTTCAAGTTTATATTTATGCTCTCACATTAGTGCCTAAGCTTAGTATGTTTTATATGAAATCAACTTCGGTTTGTTTACAGTTGTGTATTGCCGTCCCTTGCCACATATTCAAGTTTTGGGCATTCATTGGCATTATGTTTCAGGTAATGTTACTGTTCACGTCCATCTGTGGAATTTAGCTTTTAGTAAGATCGAACATTGGTTCTGAGAATATGGTTTGTGAATTCTGATTTCGCCATTGAACAGGTTCCTCTTGTCATCATAACTAAGTACTTGCAAGACAAGTTTCAAAATTCGATGGTAAGTTTTTCCTGTCCGTATCACCTTGTTGGGTTCTTCATTATGTCCTTGTCAATTTCGGCAGTTTGTTTTTCTACTTCGAGTTCTCAAGTTGCATAAATATGGTTCTATAGTTGCTTAAAGACTAACTTCTTGGAGTACTTATTCGAACAAGTCTTGCTCTTCATCCATGTATTTCTCCCCAATGGTTTGATAGCATTTTAATCTAAAACCAAGACTATTTTTTTTCTTTCTCCAGGTGGGCAACATGATATTTTGGTGCTTTTTCAGCATACTAGGTCAACCGATGTGTTTACTGCTATATTATCATGACTTGATGAATCGAAAAGCTAGTGCAAAATAAGGCCCTGCAACAATTTCGCTAGACGATAGTGATTCCTTTGGGGATACAAATTGCAGCAACTGGGTTGCTATTCCCCCATATGTTTCCATGCTGGTTTTCGCGCAGCTTCCTCATCTGCCCTGGCGAAGACGAGACATGAACTTACTTAGGGCCATACAGTTTTGATTGAAGATGTGACATATTGGCATTGGTTAGTTACTTTGATGTGTACATTTTTATTATGGGGATTTAGTAGTTTTCATGATATGTTCATGAAATTTCCTAGTTATACTGTTTCATGTTATTTTATTTCTGTAACTTGAGCTATAGTGAATAAATAGTACATGAATTAGATCATATCATAGTTTGCAAACATTATGTCGTTTTTATCCTCGGGCTTTCACTCTTAAGGTCTCGTACCAATTGAGAGTGGTAAAGATAGATTCAGCCGCTTTTGAGAAAGTCTACACAAACATTGAAATGATGTGTGGATAATATTTATACACAATAAATTCTTTGTCAATCAACTCTACTTCTCTTCTGAAATCGTAGTCCAAGTTGTCAAGATAAGATTCCCAATAGGTTTTCATTTTAATAAAATGTTTAAAGTCGAGCTAGATATATTTAACCAAAAAGTAAGAAGGCACCTGTTTGTCTTCAATTCTAACAATTTTTTATTTTTTTCTTACATACTTATTTTCAATCAAAAATTCACGTAATCAAATATTTTATACGTAAATTCAAAAATTTCCTTATTTTTCAAATTACATATTCTTCAAAAATTAACTATTCAAAACAATTTTTTCCAAAAAAAAGGCCCACCAAACGGGGGCTAAATGTGCAACTGCAAGACTTGATTATGTGGCTTGATTGGACTTATGTTACACTTTTATGCAAGACTCGCATGTCCATTCTAGGAGTGGGCAAAACATCAGGTCCGAATTCAATATCCGATTATTCGACCTGATTCGGATCTGGATTTTTTCGGGTACCGAGTTCGGGCTAAAACGATATTCCAGAACGGGTTTTGGGCATTTTTCTTACTCCAGGTAGCTCGAAACCCGATTTTTTTTTAATAATATAAAATTATCAACGTAACATTAACAATATTTATAGTACTATTAAACCTCGAAAAATTCTTGATATACATAATATATGTACATATGATGTCCATAACCCTCAAATGGGATGGATTAAACCCTAACTCTTATCTCATTGCAACATTCCCCAATCCTTGCAGAGTGCACTGCAGCAGTTCTCCTGTTGTCTTCTGACTCTTCTCAGTAATTGAATTCTTGTTTAGTTTTATACTTTTCACTCTCTCTTACTACTTATTCTGTATTACTTGACTTTAGTTGTCAGCAATAGGTATCACTGTATCAGTGAATTCTGCCAAAACCTATTATTTTTATGGATGATGCTAGTGGTACATAAGCATCTACATAAGGGTCTACATAATACTGATGTGGCATGTGATCCACCTTTAATTCAAATCTGACACTTACACATCAAAGACCGGATGATTGCCACTTCATCATTATGTAGAGCTTTATGTAGAGGCTTATGTACTACTAGCATTATCCTATTTTTATATGCACAGATCAGTTTAATACTATTTTTTGGTGTGTCAGTTTATTCTGTCTTCTTGCCAGAAAAAGATGCCAGCATGTTAAAAACGAGGCATGATATTATTCTTTTCATAGATATTCATATTATATTGGTTGAATACGACCTTTTGGGATATGAATATTAAATTATATTAGCAAATCTAGTTTCAGACTTCTCTATCAAATTCAATGCATGAGAAGCAGGCATTTCAATGCATGTTATTTTAGTTATTATCGATAGGACCTTAAAGCAAAGTTTTAAACAAAAATGTCAGCCCCCAAAACATAATTGATTTAAGTATTGCATGGTATGAAGCAATTATCTGAAACATATGTAGCCATATAGTAACACAAGCTTGCAAGAAAAACTTCAAGGAATCTTCTCTTTACATGTAAAACAATACAATTTTCACAATGGTGTCCACTTCAATGTAGTGAACTTATCTCTTCCTTGTTACAAAGGTGGGGGAGGGTGGGAAGAAGAGTGGGTGGGGTGAAAAGAAAACTATTATGTTATTTTTTTAATAAATTTTTTTAACTAAGTCATTGAAAATTTTGTTTTTTCGTCAAATTTAATATTTATATTTACCTTTTCTTTGAATGTTTAATTAATGTTCATATGGAAAAAAATAAAATAATGAAAAATTGAGGATCATTTTTGCTAAAGTCACAAAGTAATTTATTCGTTGTTTACGTTGTGGATGGCTGATGATTATAGTCAGTGGCAGATCCAAGATTTTGAGTAAGCACGGGCGGTCGTTGACGGTCGGAATAATAACCAATGTCGTGATCTGAAATTACTTAAATCATAGTTCGAATTGTACGTGTGAGGGTACGCTATCTAACAGTCTAATATTGTTTAACGAGTAGCAGTTTGAAGTTTGAAAAACGGGTTCAATTATTTACTTTCTTGTTTCGATTTGCTAATAATTTCAATCTAGCAGAAAAAATGACCTTTTGAATAATCTCATTGTAAGGTCGAAGTTTAGTTAAACAAATTTTAAAAACAAAGGGGGAATATACATATTACTTGATAAAAAGATCATATAAAATTTTGTTACACTAAATGTTAACATCTTCCAAATGCCATAGTGATCAAGTGTTTCATAATTCCAATGGTGATCACAGGGTGGAATCTTCCAATGGCACTGATTTTTATAATGTCCATATGCTCGATAATTGTGAAAAATATTAAACTAAAATAATTTTAAAAGAGATTGCTATAGTTAAAATTAGAACCCAAGATTCCCATTTACATGGATATTACTCTGACCAACTAAACTACCATCACATTATGTCAATAAAAGGAAATCACAGTTATATATCCATATAAATAAATACATAATCCAAAAAAAAATTTGGATGCCGGCGAATCTAGCACGGGCAACTGTCGAAACTCGCCAAGTGCTGGATCCGCCGCTGATTATAGTTATATAAAACTGGACATGAGTGACTTTGAAAATGACCATGATAATGTTGCTGATGGTAAGGTAAGCAACATGTCTATTAAGTCTCCACAAAATGAAGATCCACATGAAACTACTATTGAGCATGCAAATACTACTGCTACTAATGAAGGTGACATAGTCGAGCTTTCTGAAAATGGCTATGATCAAACTAGTGCACGTCCATCTAAGACTAGAAAAAATCAATCTCCTGTTTAGGAACACTTTACTAGACTTATGATCCAAAGATTGATGTTGGTAAAGAACTTGAATGCCAATGCAAATAGAACCGCCCTTGGTGTACCGGGTCAGGGTGACGAACACCCCGACCGGCCCCTCACATCAGGGGGGCCCCACATTTTTTTTTTCAATTTTTTATACATATGAGGGCCAGCATCATGTGAGAGTGCGTCAATTTTTTTGTCAAATATTTTTTGTACAAGTAGCTTTTTTGATGGAAATATTGTGAAGCTATCTTTTCTTGTCATTCTCCTAAGGGGACTAGTCACTTGAAGAGGCACAAAGATATATGTTCTCCATATCTTGAAAAGACGGGAAAGCAAGATAAAAATCAAGCAACACTCACTTTGCAAGGAAAGGTGAGAAAGATCCAAAAGCTCCGGTTGGTGACCTTAGGCTTGGGGGGTTTAGTAAGTCAAAATATAGACGTGCACTTGCCAAGATGCTTATCGTGAATGAGTTGCCATTTATTTTTGTTGAGAGACAAGGGTTTAAAGAGTACATGGAGGTCGTCGAGCCAAGTTCTAACATTTCCTCTCACTACACAGCAACAGAAGATTGTAAGAAGTTGTAGGGGAAGGTTAGATTAAAAGAAGTGATAAAGGCGCATGCCCAAAGTGTGTTTTATTATTAAAATTTGTGGTTCTATCTTAAAAGATCAACCTTATTAAGAAGAGTAGCTTAAACTCTTATAAATTGGTCTATGTTTCATCTTTATTCGATGCGAGATTTTATCCCTTAACACGCCCTTTCAAGATGATGGCTCGTTTGAGCAGATCAATTTTGAAATCCATGTGTTCAATTTTTTTGAGTCTTAATCGGATTGTTGGAGTTTAACAGACTCTGATACCTTGATAAAATTTGGGGTTCCTTAAGATGAGTAGCACAAACTCTTATAAATTGATCTATGTTTTCATCTTTATTCGATTTGAGATTTTATCTCTTAACAATTACCACGGACACATGGACTTCAAATCGAAATATGAGTTATATGTGTATTACTTCTCCCACTTTGTTGACAAAAAATTGGCAGTTGCATAAGAGGATTCTATCGTTCCGAAGGATAGCAGATCATAAAGGTTTGACAATTGGGAAACAGTTGGTGGATGTTTTGATGGAATATAATATAAAAAAAATTCTCAGTCACAGTTGACAATGCATCAGCAAATGACGGAGCACTTGTCTTCTTGATGGAAAAGGCTTCATGGACTAGGCGCAATATGGTGCTTAACGATGAGTTTACGCACATGAGGTATATTTTCTAATTAAAATATGATCAAAATTCTAACTGATCCCTTCAATTATTTAAACATGCTATTCGTTTCAATCTTTTGCATTTTTAGTTGACTTTTGTTTTCTACCAATTTTGTCTTATAGGTGTCGTGATTGAATGATATTGGTAACGCTGTGAAAAATATAAGAATGGTGGTAAGGCACATAAGGGCTTCCTTAAAGAGATTTGATATTTTTAAAGATCATGTAAAACAAGTTCAACTTAAACATAAGCCTTTCTTGGTGCTGGATGTCCTTACGAGGTGGAATTCTACGTATCTTATGTTGGAGAGAGTTGAGAAATTTCGAGTTGTATTTGACTTCATGTCATCTGATGGGGAATTTAATACCGTGCGTGAGGAGATGGGAAAAAATGGTGTTGGGATTTCTGGAGCACCTACTGATGAAGATTAGGTTTCAATTAGAGCCATGATCACATTTTTGGAACTGTTCCATTTATAATAGTCATCTTATGGGCACATAATTTATTTAATACAACTTTTTTCAGGTGCATAACATCGAACTTGTATTTTGAGAACATGGCTTATAATATACCCTCATTTGCAGAGTTACATGTTGCATGTGGTAGCAGATTCTCCTCACATGCAAGTTCTTCTAGTAG